GATCCGATATATCAGTTTCCCCTTATAAACTTTACTCCTTAGCTTTAACCCTTTCCCCAACCCTTTTTTCACCCCAAAAAAACATAATCTAAAAAAAATTTTTTTTTTAAATACTTTATTACGTGCTACATCATACCTTTTATATTTATTTTATCCCTTTTATTAAAATTGTATTTCTTATTACCAAATCTTTTTACAATAGCTCAATTATGGCTCCCCATTTTCATTTCCCCCGAAACCCCCAAATTTACCACTACTCCCCCCATAACATTTTTACCCACTTTTGATTGAAATCCCCAACCCCATTACTCCACACTTGATTCAAAACTCCCCCCCATTCTCAACATTTCCCAAATCTTCCTCCTTACTTTTCTTCTAGGGGCATTAAACCTTATTATAACCCACTTTTCACACCCAATCTTTATTTTACTCCCAAAATCCTTGAATTAATAATTAAGTCCTTTTTTCCCTGCCTAGCTTATCCTTAAACATTATTGCTACCCCTTCTTTAGCTCTAACTATTTGAAACCCCTGACCTAACCCCATTTTTCCCCTCCACTAAAAAAATCTCCCACCCCCTTCAGTTTTGTTTCCCTTAAAAACCAGGACACCCAGTTTTCTCATTTAACATCCAAAATCATCTCTTTCTTATCATCTCACAACACGACGACATTCAGACTTCCCACTTTGACAATTTTCTTCTTTTATTTTTTTTAGTAATTTTTACAGGGAAAAAGGGGCTACTAGCCCCTTGTTCCCCCGGGATTTTAGTTGACTTTTCAACACGCATGGGTTACGGAGGGAAAAATTCTTTTCCCTTTCCCCATGGTATAAAAGGAAAAGTAATAAGCCCAAGAACATTAAAAAATCAAGAAAACTCAGATGATGTGTATAAATAAATGTTACATTATGAGTAGTGTGCCCAAGGTAAGTAGAAGAGAAAGACATCCTGTAATTTGCATATTTTGAGACATACAAAAGACATCAGAAAATCCACCATCATGTAAAACAATCATATATATAAATTTATTATATAATATAAAAATATAATATATATATAATTTAAGGAGGGGGGTCCCCCCCCCAGTATAGAGGTGGTACTTCCCTTTATATATATATTAATATATATATAATATAATATATATAAAATATTTATAAATTTAATATATATAAATTTTTATAATATTTTTATAATGTATGAAATAAGATCACAGTAAACGGGTGATTTTCAAATATCAAAACAACCACCTAAAAGAATAGAGAAATTTCAACGTTTTCGTGACTCTCACTTAAACAAGGAACTATAAAAGTGAAGCACCCAAAGGAAGCTAATAAGGGGTCCGACCAGCACCTCACACAGATCCCACAAGGGTTAAACACTGACGCGCGACGAGCCATTTGGATAGGCCCTTTGCACATCCCCCCCCAAATTTTTAAATTTTCTTGGGTAGAATGTTGGGGGGGGTTGTGCAAAAGGACCTATCCAAAATTGGGTCGTCGCGCGTCACGTGTTTTTAAACCCTTGTGGGGTTGATGTGAGGTCTGGTCGGACCCCTTATATAGCTTCCTTGGATGCTTCACTTTCATAGTTCCTTATAATGTGATTTGTCACAAAGCCCGGGAAATTTTCCCATTCTTCAGAGTGGTTTTTTTGCATATACAATATATATTATATATAAATTTATATAAAAATATATATTATTATATATAATATATATATTAATATTTTTATATATAATTTTTATATTTATATATATTAAATTTATAAATTATATTATTTATAATATATATATGTTAATTTTTATATATAATTATTATATATATATTTTTATATATATAAATATTTAATATATATATAAATATAAATTTTTTTTTTAAATTTTATATATATGTATATATATTATATATATTTTATATAATATAATATATAAAAATATATATATATATATATATAAATAATATATAATTATTATATATATATTATATATAATAATATATATATATAAATATTGGGCCATTTATTAATAAAATATTTCCCTTTTGGGACCTATTATGTAATAAAATTTCCTTTGGTAAAAAAAAAAAAGTTTAAAAAAAATGGGGTGGTAGGGGGAATGGAATATTCAAAAAGGCTTCGGGAAAAAATCCAAATATTTTTCCTTTAAGCCTTTTTTTCCCCTTCTCCGAGGCATGGGTCCCCCCAATTTACACCCGAGTGGACCCATCCTAAATTTCATAAATATAATAGGGGGAGGGTCCCCTTCCATATAGAGGGGGTACTTCCCCCATATTTTTATATACACTAAATACAACACATATATATTTTAAAATATTATATATAATATAATATTATATAATATATAAATATATTATTTATATATATTTAAAAATATAATTTAATATATATGGAGGGGGTGGAAAAATTTTGAGCTAAAGATTTCCAACCCCCCTGACTTGTCTTTATAGTTAAGATCGCCTGTCTGCATTTTTTTCATATATATATATATATATTAATTATATAAAAATTTTATATATATATATATAATTATAAATTTTTATATATATATATAATATACATATATATATATTATATTGAGAGCCCTGGTGCTAGGTGGGGGCCCTTGGCTGTTGTCCCATCCCCAGCAGTGTCTTTCCTTTCTACTGGCCTTCGTCGTTCCTCCCAACGGACCCCAAACCCCGGCTATTTTCAATTCCAGTTTTTGAACCAGAATTCTGACAGTTTCTTAATACGGCAATAGCCTTTGTATTTTCGAAATAATCAAAATTATTTCCTTTAATTTTTTTCTAAGCTGCACTGTATTGAATATTTTACCAGCAAAATGGTATCGGTTTAATTATCTCTGTTTAATATAACGTAAAATCCCACAAGGAGACAAAAATAACACAAGAGTTAAATATGGGTCTCAGGTTTCTGTGCTTTACACACACACACACACACACACACACACACCTAGAAAGGAATGATCTCATCAACAGCAGCCAGCATGGTTTCAGGGACGGGAAAATCTGTGTCACAAACCTACTGGAGTTCTACGACATGGTGACAGCAGTAAGACAAGAGAGAGAGGGGTGGGTGGATTGCATTTTCTTGGACTGCAAGAAGGCGTTTGACACAGTTCCACACAAGAGATTGGTGCAAAAACTGGAGGACCAAGCAGGGATAACAGGGAAGGCACTACAATGGATCAGGGAATACTTGTCAGGAAGACAGCAGCGAGTCATGGTACGTGGCGAGGGTGTCAGGTGGGCACCTGTGACCAGCGGGGGTCCCGCAGGGGTCAGTCCTAGGACCAGTGCTGTTTCTGGTATTTGTGAACGACATGACGGAAGGAATAGACTCTGAGGTGTCCTTTTGCAGATGACGTGAAGTTGATGAGAAGAATACACTCGATCGAAGACCAGGCAGAACTACAAAGGGATCTGGACAGGCTGCAGACCGGGTTTCCAGCAATTGGCTCCTGGAGTTCAACCCCACCAAGTGCAAAAGTCATGAAGATTGGGGAAGGGCAAAGAAGGCCGCAAAACGGAGTACAGTCTAGGGGGTCAGAGACTACAAACCTCACTCAAGGAAAAAGATCTTGGGTGAGTAAAAACACAGGCACATCTCCTGAAGCGCACATCAACCAAATAACTGCTGCCAGCATATGGGCGCCTAGCAAATCTCAGAACAGCATTCCGACATCTTAATAAGGAATCGTTCAGGCCCCTGTACACCGTATACGTTAGGCCATATTGGAGTATGCGGCACCAGTTTGGAACCCACCCTAGCCAAGCACGTAAAGAAACTAGAGAAAGTGCAAAGGTTTGCAACAAGACTAGTCCCAGAGCTAAGAGGTATGTCCTACGAGGAGAGGTTAAGGGAAATCAACCTGACGACACTGGGAGGACAGGAGAGATAGGGGGGACATGATAACGACATACAAAATACTGAGGGGAATTGACAAGGTGGACAAAGACAGGATTTTTCCAGAGATTGGACACAGTAACAAGGGGACACAGTTGGAAGCTAAAGACACAGATGAATCACAGGGATGTTAGGAAGTATTTCTTCAGCCACAAAAGTAGTCAGTAAGTGGAATAGTTTGGGAAGCGATGTAGTGGAGGCAGGATCCATACATAGCTTTAAGCAAGGTATGATAAAGTCACGGCTCGGGGAGAGTGACCTAGTAGCGATCAGTAAAGAGGCGGGGCGGGGGCTCGGACTCCCCCCCCGCACTCAACTAGGTGAGTACAACAGGGAGTACACACACACACACACACACACACACACACACACACAACACACACAAACACACACATACCCACACATACACAAACACACACAAAACACACACACCCCCACACACCCCACACACACACACACACACACACACAAAAAACCACACACACACCCCACAACAACATACACACACCACATACAACCCAAACACCACACCCACACACACCCACACACACACCCCCCAACAAAAGAGGCGGGGCCGGGACTAAGACCGCCCCCCTGAAACCCACAAATGGTGAGTACACAACACACAACACACGACATATAATGACTGGGAAAACTGTAGGTGATGAGAATGTCTGAGTTTTCAGTTTCCGTTGTGCCCCCTTGTTTCTGTGTCCCCTCTCGGAACACCCAAAACTTGTCCCCTTTGTCTATTCCCGCGTATTTGTAGTTGTTATCATGTCTCCCCTGACCTTCTGTCCTCCAGTTCGTCAGTCCGTTTTCCCCTAAACCTTTTCCCTCGTACATTTTCCCCTGACTCGGGACTGCTTGTTGCAAAGTGCTTGCCCAGGGGTGGGTTCCAGACTGGTGCTCATCTCCAGTATGGGCCTAACATACTGTTTGCACCCTGATGGGTTGCAAGATTAGTATATTTTTAAAATTTTTACCTTTTCATATAATTTTATATTGCTTATATTTGCGATAATAGCTAAATCGTAAATGTATTGCTTTATATTGTTTATTGACTTACCTTCCTTTGGTTAGGTAGGATGTAACATATTATGTGCTCAGTTCAAGTCTTGATTGTCTAACTACTGTAATTATCGCCCTTTGCTCGTTAGACTGCCGGCTTCTGTTTCTGAGCTGCAGCTGTCCACGGAGCTATCACGTAATCGACGGGGGGGTGTCCTCACCTCGCCTGAAGTATTCAGTCTGGTCTAGACTCTCTTGGTGGTTGGACAGATTGTCTGTCTCATTATTCTTGTTAGTTCTGTAGAACTCTGTTCACAGAACATTGTATAGACTTAGTGATTTTCGACGTTGTACTGAGGTTGTGTGTCTCATAGACACTAGAAACAACTCAGGTCCTGAGCTGTAGCTTCTGACCTACTAACTTGTACTGATATCTGTGTATTATCACAGTCGGGGATTTTCTTATGCTGAACCTAGATTCAGTAGTATGGGAGTTTGGTGACTTGTGGGGGATCTGCTGATGGTCCCTACTTAGTGTCGTTATATTATCTCCTTGTTCCTGATTCTGTGTCGCAGTTGCTTGTTATATTGCTATTGGGCTTAACATTCTTTTTATTGTTCAAGCAGATTGTTCTGATTGCCAGTTGGTCAAGAAGTTAGTTTATTTGAGGACTTTGTCAGTCACTTGTTTAAGTCTAGTCGAGTCGTGAGACATAGTGAACTACTTAGAGCACTTACACGCATACACAAACTTACTTGTACATATTTGTAATATCTTATTAAATGTTAATGTACCAGACGGTACTTAAGAATTATAAATGTGACGTGTTTTCAGCACAATAATATTGTACTCGAAAGAAGTGATATTATTTTGATTACTGTGATTAATTTAATTTAATTTAATTTGATAATATACCTCTAGACTTAATAAATTTATTAAATTTTAATTTCTCTAGTTAGTAGCCTACCAGTTGTAATCCTGAAGCACTAATGAATCATACTGAATTTTAATGGATAATTGGACAAGGATACTGACTACTTGTTACGTAAACCCAGTAACAGGCTGGATGCTAGAAGTGCAGTCCTTTCTAGTATTCACTGGAGATCTCTAAGCTTTTAGAATAGCGTTTTTTGTAACACATACACAGTGTACAGTGTCTTGAACGATTCCTTATTAAGGTATCGGAATACTATTCTCAGGTTTGCCAGGCGCCCGCATGCTGCAGCAGTTATTTGGTTGATGTGTGCCTCCGGTGACGTGCTCGGTGTTATAGTCACCCCAAGGTCTTTCTCCCTGAGTGAGGTCTGTAGTCTTTGTCCACCTAGCCTATACTCTGCGGTCTTCTTTGCCCCTCCCCAATCTTCATGACTTTGCATTTGGCAGGGTTGAATTCGAGAAGCCAGTTTCTGGACCACATGTCCAGCCTGTCCAGGTCTCTTTGCAGTCCTGCCTCATCCTCATCCGATTTAATTCTTCTCATCAGCTTCACATCATCTGCGAATAGGGACACTTCAGAGTCTATTCCTTCCATCATGTCGTTCGCATATATCAAAAATAGCACTGGTCCTAGAACTGACCCCTGTGGGACCCTGCTCGTCACAGGCGCCCACTGTGATACCTCTTCACGTACCATGACTCGTTGTTGCCTCCCTGTCAGTTATTCCCTGATCCATTGCAGTGCCCTCCCTGTTATATGCGCCTGATCCTCCAGCTTCTGCACTAATCTCTTGTGGGCAACTGTGTCAAAGGCCTTCCTGCAGCCAAGGAAAATGCAATCAACCCACCCCTCTCTCTCGTGTCTTACTTCTGTTACCTTGTCATAAAACTCCAGAAGGTTTGTGACACAGGATTTGCCTTCCATGAACCCATGCTGGTTTTCATTTATAATTTTGTTCCGTTCCAGGTGTTCCACCACTCTCCTCCTGATAATCTTCTCCATGACTTTGCACACAATACATGTCAGAGACACAGGCCTGTAATTTAGTGCCTCATTTCTTTTTCCTTTCTTAAATATGGGGACTATATTTGCTGTCTTCCATTTCTCAGGTAGTTGCCCAGTTTCAAGGGATGTGTTGAAGATTGTGGTTAGGGGCACGCACAGCATCTCTGCTCTTTCTCTAAGGATCCACGGGGAGATGTTGTCCGGTCCCATCGCCTTTGAGGTATCAAGGTCACTTAGCAGCTTCTGCACCTCCTCCTCGGTTGTTCGTATGTCATCCAACACTTGTTGGTATATTCCCTCTTGATGTTCCCTTCTGTGCTGTCTTCCCAGAGCCCTTCCTGTCTCTACTGTAAAAACTTCCTTAAATCTCCTGTTTAGCTCCTCACATACCTTCTGATTTCTTGTGATAACATTTGTATAACACAGTGCAACACAGTGTTAAGTTAGGTAAGGAGAGGAAAGGTAAGGTTTGGTTAGGAGCAGGTAAGACTATATAAGGCTAGGAGGTAGGCCAGGTTAGGTTAGGAAAAGGAAGGTTAGGTTAGGTTAGGATAAGGCAGGTTAGACTTTTTTCATGTGATTTTTTATCCGTGACTCTTTTCCTGGGAATATATGTCTAAG